TTCAGTGGCTTTTTGGACAATCACCATGAATAAAGATGAGGTACTCCCAGAAGATAAAGGTGGGGGCCATCTGTTCTATGCTCAGAGGAGTCCAAACCATAAGAGCAATCACAAACATGTGAACATCACTTCTTTAAAATGCTGGCACTGTGGCACCAGCCACGTGGTTCAACCATATGAGCAATGCCAGAACACTTCATGATATCACGTCGGGAGCCACCCACGAACTCCTATCCTCTCTCTGGCTCAGCAGCACTACTCAAGCATGAGGCAAGGCTGTGCTGTATGGAGAAGGCATCTGCAGTGGGAATGGGGGCTGGAGCCCCAGTGGGGCAGAGCTGCCTCAAGGGAGGCATACAGAGAGAAAAATGTATGGGGAAAGAGATAGAAATCAAAGGGTATCTGGAAGAGAAGTAGGGAACAGAAGGAATGACGTGAGCAACAGGAAGAAGTTACCTCACTTTTCAGAGCTTGATCAGACTTGCACTCAGAGCAATGCAATTCACTTCCCCATTTCTTTAGATGTCAAATATCCAGAGGCATTCAAAGTGGAGCAACAGGCAAGAATGGATGTAAAACTACAGATGTGCAAGCACGGGTACATGGAGCTCTTCCACTTCCTGAAAAAGGTTACTAATAATGCTATCTAGAACCTCAGCTGTGCTTTAGTAATTCTTACCAGTTGGGAATTCCATTCTATACTAAGATTTAGTCCACGAACTCCGACTGACAATGGTGGACAATTTGCTCATTTTTATTGTATGTGTTACATAGTTTATTATCTGGGACATAGATTTCATCATGAAATTCTCACTCCTTTTGTAATAAGTCATTTGTATGAAGAGTCACACTTCCCAATTTTCCATACACACCTCTCTCTTGTTGTGAACATATTTGTTATTCAGAACTATTAGCCATGTAACATCATGTATACAAATATTTTGTATTTTTGATACAAAATAAATGCAACATGTAATGTTTCTGCTCTGTAACTGTATTGTCAAAGTCGAGTTCTTAAAGTTGTAAAGTTGTGAAGTTTTGTAATTAAACAAAAATAAAAACAATTTACTAATGCAAAGTGCTACCTATCTGCTTCTCCATCTCTTCCAGAAAAGACAAAACCTCTAGGAGAAAGATTTCTAAGAATAATATTTTAAAGTTTCCATGGATTTCAGCATCTCTTCAAATAACAGATGATTATTGTTATTACTACTACTGTGAGGTTTTGGTAATCTCATAATGTCCATGTAAATTCTGGCAACGAGAAACAACTTGACATCTTCAGTCTGTGCTAAAATCATTAAATTAATAATTCTGCACAGCCTGCTAGATTACAGTACATCTCCCCATTGCAGCCCAGCTTGGCACTCTGCACACGTGCTGGTAGATAATCCAGGTTTTAAAAGTTGACTCCCTCTTTATCATTGTGTGACGTAGGCCTACAAAGGTCAAGGTAAGGCCATTGTGTCTTGAGTCTATTTTTATTGTACAAAACAGTGGATGGAACTTAATTATTTTTTCCATCTGCCAACCATTTTGACTAATTGAACCCTTTGGAGCCAAGAGTCAAGGTTTCCCAATGTAAACCAGACCCTGGAACTCGGCATTAGCAGAAATGTTGAAAAATCATGAAGGAATTTTTGGTTCTGAGGTTTGGTTCTGTTTTCCAGAGTCTGATTGGGATTCAGAAGAAACCCAAACCCCTACCCTAAGTATACATTTTTGGGGGTTCTTTTAGTGTCTCAAATTTTCCAGGCACTAAAACTTCCCATTACAAAATAAATAAATAAATACAATAAAATAAAAATGGGATATAACTTAAAGCCACAGAAGTATGGAAATTCCCAGTGAAGGCTTTGACTTCCATTATTTTGGCAAAAGCAGAGCATGCTTGGGCAGCATTAAAAAAGCAGCATTACTTAATACTGAAGGGTTTTCTGACAAATTCTCTGTACTGAAGATCTGACTGTCGACAATTCTGCAGTGTATTTTTATGATATTTATGATATTTTCACCAACATTTTTCTCCTTCACAGGGTGACTGCTTTAGCCATTAAATTATCTTGCCTGTTCTATCATTTGATTACTTTATAGAAAGTTTTCAACTGAAGTAATATTATACAGAATCACAGAACCTCTGATCTTAGCTCAGAACGTCCAAATCTGTGAAATGGTGATTCTTGCAGCAATGAGACCATCAAGAACTGAAAGACCAGAGGTATTATTTACCAGCCTGCAATACAGCCCACGTTTAACAGACTTGGGAACTGCGCTTCATGTTGTCCTGCTTGGTAGTGAAGCCCTGATGGGTGGCTCATGCTTCCTGGTTTTAACTTCCAGTACCATAACTCTGCTTTGATTTAGTTCTTTTTAGGATGTGATATAACTAAGGTAAGTATTCCCATGCTGATGACTACTGCTTCATTTATCTCAGACTCTTCTGCTATTGACGTTTCTTTCCCCAGCACTTCCTCAGCTTGCCATCAGCATTAATGACGTGCCGCAAGAGATGCTTCATCCTTTGTTTTTCATGTCTTTGGTGTCTGGCCATTAGGAAGCAGAAGATTTGGTGACTTCTACCCATTCCCTTTGACAGAAAGCTCATTTTACAGCATAGCTGTGATCATTTGGAAATGTTTCACAGAAACCAGGGATCTGTCTGAAATTCTGCACTAGAGGCAAATGAAAATTTCTAATAGATCTGGGTCTTAGTTCCGCTAATTTCAATGGTTCGTTTCACTGCTCTGGCAGTCAGGATCCATTAGTGGAACAGAAGGAGAAGCATGTATAATGCATGTACAGCAACCGTATTCTAATCTGAAGTTTCTTTCTTTCTTTAAAGTTCTTATTTTTTTAAATAAATATATAATGAGTTACTGACAGTACTTAATATCTTATACTAGACACAGTAATACCCCAAATAAATACTTAATTTCTGCTTTCCTGCAATTTCACTAGGATTACATCATGTCAGATTACTTTAAGTCTGCTTTAACCTAGTTTGAAAACACTAGTTATTCAAAGATCTTTACAATTCTTAATTTCATTCTTTGAAATACCTTTTCTTTTGCTTCCTTTATATGGTTTTTCAAGCCTCTGAAGGCCAGGAGTCAGAACAAGCCAACAGGGAGGAAGTTATGAAAGCATAAGTGCTGCTCAGTTGACAATTGATCTTCCTCCCTTCCTGCACCACTGGCCAGCAGCAGCGTGTTCTCCTGGGTAGATGTACACTAAGTCTTGCATCTAATCCAGCCTTTGGATTGGTATGGTAGCAAACATACTATTTGTTTTTGTGATGTATATAGAAGTATTTACAGATAATCACATGGGCACCACAGGGTCTTTACCACCCAAGAAACAACATGTATTTCTGATCTCTTGGCCTGCTTCCAAACCAGAACCACTGAATAAGAGAGGTGTACTCTACCTTTAACCACTGACTGAAGTCATTAACATGCACTCCCTACCATGAATTAAATTAGTTTAGATTCTACTGACGATGCAAATAAACTCATGAAGCATAGCTCTATAGGGCTACAAACTAACCCATTTCAAAAGACTTTTGCTGCTGCTTTTTTTTTTTAAATCGTTCCACATGATGAATGGCAAACTCCCTAAATTACCCAGAGAAAGAAATTTTAACCATTCAGCAATAACAAAAATTGTTTTAATGATAAATACAAAGTCACAAAGCTCAGCACGTTCTGCTGAGAACCATTAATGAGGGAAGATGGTGAGGTCTCTGAATTTACCTTCCCTTTTATTAATGCTCTTTTCCATTTACAATCCATACACTTGATCAGAACATAGAATCCTTATATAAAAATTCTGACAAAATACCCAGATTTTGACACTTATTGCCTTTCAAATGCTGTCTGATCTATTGCTAAAGTCTGAAAAACTGAAGGAATTGAGGTCCTAATCCCACTGCGTTCCTTCAAAAACTGGACCGTAATGATGACATTAATTATTGTTGCCTTTGACTTTCCTTCCTTCATAAATATCAGCTTAAAAACTGTCATTTAAAATAGCTTTCCTGTGGTAGGAAGCACCTTATCTTGTACTTGCATGTCCCTGTAACATGTGCATATGGAGCTCTGAACTTTGTTTCTGTTGCCCTCAATTAAAAGCAAAACAAAGAAAAAAAAAAAACTTGATAATATTTTGTTGGAAAATGACCTAACGAATATCCTGCTTATTGCAGAAAACGAATACGGCATGTTCCTTTAACACAGAAAATAGGATGCAGTCTTGGGACACAATAAACCCTACAAAATGCCCTTCCCTCACCTCTGCCTCATGATCCTCATCCCAGTGCTCCGTGGTCCTCCTAAAACCTGCACCATTTGTTTTCTGCTATGCTATCTAAACGGGAGATACTGCTATCTCCTCTGTTTCCAAAAAATTCTGGTAATCCTGTAACGTCTGTTTTGGAATGGGCATTTAAAAATACTTTCCCGTCCTTTTTCCATCTTAAAAGGTGTGCTAATGACTTGGCTGTAAGGATCCTTAGCGTCCTCTATGCAGGATTTTAGTTCTCATGATTAATTAGGCTGCATCTGCCAATAAAATTTGGGAATTCCCTCCTCACGACTGTTTCAGGTCTCTATACAAAATCTACCCAAATCATGTTGACACCAGCTGACTAAGTTAACTCTATAAATAGGTTTATATACGCCATCCCAGCACCCAAACCAGAGGATGAGACTTGTGCAAGCTAGCATCAAAATTACAGTTAATCTAAATACACGCTTGAGAGAAGAACAGAAGACAAACACGGTTCTTTTGGGCCAGAATATAGCTCAAAGTACATCTCTTGAGTTTTGCCTGGACCAGCAATGCTCACATCAACATGGGGCATGGCAAACAGCAAAGACCACACTGATACTGAAACAATGACACTCATAAAATGTCTAGAAAGAAGACAACAAGCAGGCAGAAGCTTGTTTCACTTGTATTCTTAAGATTTAAATGCAGCCAGTTGGCTGCTTGCAGTACTATACGCAGGCAAAATGCAATAAAAAGAGAGTCTGAGCAGAAACAGGGTGGGTACTGTGGATTTAGGAACCGCAGAGCGAGTCACAGGATCTCCAGTGGCCCCAGAGACACAGCAGTGGGTGTTTTCCCAGAGAAATGTCTGCTGGGGAAGAGACTAAGGAGTTAGATGGTGGGACGAACATTTTTCATCTCAAAATGGGTGTTGGCTCCTGTCAAAAGCTGTCTCAATCTCTCCCCAAGAAAGCCATTGCCAATACTTCTGTGCAACTTGGCACGTTCATCTTGTCTCTCAGAGCAAACTGCTACCCCATCTCCACCCTTCTATGTGATAGCAGTGGCTCAGCAGGCACATGTAAGTCTCAGTGATAGATGTGAGCTGAACAGCTCTGCTCAGGATCTAGATAAACAAAGAATGAAGGTCTTTTGTCAAGGCACTGCAAACACAGGGCATTACGTGCAATAAATACACTTTTGTTTTTAATTTTTAATTTGAAATCCCAAAGAATGGCTCATTTTTAAAGATTTGTAAAAAAAAAAAAAAAAAGCTAGATATCTGAAAACTTGCTTTGACTGAAGTCAGAGGCTGCTTGGCATCACCCATTCAGAAGGACAGACTTCCAAGGGGAAACCATCAGACGTCTGGGAATGGCAATCAGGAATTCAGAAAGAATTTCAGAAGCAGTCCTTTCTGTTTGAATTTCAGACTTCTTGACGTTGACCAAGGAAAAATCCCGGCGGTATTTTTGCAACTGCTATATTTGCTAGAATCTTCTAAAGAATTTTTTTCAAATTCCGCAATTCTTTGCAAACAGATGACATTTAGCTGCATATCACTTAACTTCATAACCCTCTTAAAAACATGTGGTTGATCTGGCACCATTAGTTTCCATATGATGTTACTCTGTGACTGTATCAGATAATTGCATAATTTATTGGCCTTGTGTATTGAACTGAGATCTGAATGCAGCTCTCCCAGCCCATTTACTCCAGACTTAGGAACAGCAAACCAGAAGACAGAGCTTGAAAAACAAAATCAAGGAGAACAATAACAAGTGGGCACTTCCACATACTTTTTTTTCACCCAAGAACATACAGTGTTCAGTGCAGAGCTGAAATTTCATTTGCTTATAAAAGCGTCTTGCTGGTAATTAAAATCAAAGCAAGAAAATGAAAAACAGACACAATATTTCAAGCGATAACTACAGAAACATACAACCTCTGCACGGAATGCTGTACATTTACTCAGAAATATTCTTCGCAGAATATTTTCCCTCTAAGCTACAGCTTCTGCTCCTTTTCCTTCCCAGTGTGCTCAGTTGAAGGTGGTACTCATGGGATTATACAATTATCCACCATACCTGGGACCTATTGAACATTTTTAGCCATTATTGTTTTAAACCACTCATTCAAAAGACATTAAGACATTTTGGAGTTTAATTTAGAAAACATTTCAGACTAGTACTGAGTGATACCTTCATCACTGCTGATATCTTTCATTTTACACCCACAATTAATATTACTCACAAATGAAAACTCTCAGCTGCCTGCCTGTGTCATCTGTCCACCAAATAAATTGATGGTTGATGCAACTAATTTCACAGCACAAAGGAGCATCTGCTCATTTGGAGGCCACATTAGCTGTCCAATTAGGACACCATGTTCCATAATGTATGATGATCAAGTTTCAGACCATGAGAAGTTACCAGTTCTATGCCTTGATAGAAAGGAATGTTCAAAATAAGTTTTACAAGATCAAAAGGAAACTGGAAGCTCAACAATTCCTACCCAATGCATACTTGTTTCAATGTTAAAATTAGGATGGATAACAAAAGGCCTCTACATTTTGGAGTTACCATACAAAGACCTGTTTTTAAAACAACCAAGGGCACTGCTTCTCTTGAGAGAAACAATTCCTTCAGGTACTCTACAAGCACTCCTATCTCCAACTGGAAGAAAACATGGCTTGACTCCAGCAGCAACAGGATCCATTAAGGTACAAGACATGGAAAAAATGCATCTCAACACATGCATGTGTACACCTTTGAAATCAACCGGACTTAAATGCATGCTTAAAATAACAGGTGAGTCTCTGCACTTTACTGAATGAGAAGAAATTTAGGCACATATTAGACACCCTTTCTGAATGTGGGCAAGAGGAAATTCAGAAGGGCTTGGTAACCACGTGTACACTACTTGCTTAAGCTGGAATTAGGCAGCACAGCATTACCAGAAAGCCTCTCAGCTCAAAGTGACCAAACCTCTGTCCAGGCTTTCACGATCATTTGTGCAAGGAAGGCATTGTCCATGCAAACAGGAAACAGGATTTGCTTTGCCACAAGAGAAAATTCTCCTGTGCCAGACTTGTTTCATGACAAAACGAAATTTCTTCTATGCAAAAGCTGAAATAGTTTAGTGGTATAAGTTGTCATGGATGGACTGTAAAATGAGGAAACTTCTTTCCAACAGATCATCATCATCATGGAGCAGACTGTTAAATTAAACTCAGTTACTAAGTATGACAGAATGAGTGCTTCCAAAACGTCCTTTTCAAAGTAAAGTGTCACTAATGGAAACAACACCTCTATAGAATCACACATAGCCATTACAAAGTTACCAATGTAAAAAACAGAATTCCACATCCTATTACGGACAAACCCTTCTTGATAAAGAGCTGAAATCCACATCCTCACCAGCTGAAAACAGGTTGAAAAAGTCTCAGACTTCAAATACAAAAGCAAATCCTTGGCTGCAATGTACCTACTGAAAATAGCTGATTTGCAGAAACTGAGGACCTGATCTGTTTTGTATAAGATAGTGTTTGAAGTGAAGAAATAATAACATTGGTTGTACTAAAGGAAAAGATGTGTCATAAAATCATGATGGTTACCTTATTGATTTCTAATCATTAAGCCAGTAAGCGTATTCTCCCTGTTGAACAGCACTGTGGAAGAGATGCAAGAAAGAAAGTACAATATAATACAGGATAATTTCTGCCTTTATTCTAGGGAGGTTTATCTGGTCCTGTGTGCTCACTTTTCCTTATTTATAGAGTAGAAATTCAAAGGACTAAAGCATACTGTAGATTTGGGAGCTTCTAGAATACCAGTCAGAATCACAAAAATCAAAAGCATCTGATTTGTTAAATAACATCAGTTTATGCAAAATTATCATTGGTTAAATGTTGATTTTCTAGTTTTGTTGCAAGTGGAAGTGAATTGGACAATATTCACTATCATGATTGCTTTCTGTGTGAAGAGGTCTTTTTCAGGCTGCCCTGGCTGCTGCTGTTTTAATCAGAAGGTTGTCTATTTGTATGTTAATAGTTTCATCGTGGTTTATTAGGCTTGTTGATGGAAAAGCAAAAATGAGATGCTTTACCGTTTTCAAGCTTCGCTATTAATCTGTGATTTTTTTTTCGTGCCTACACCAAACCATTTCAGCATCCTCTGCCTTAAATTCTCTTAATGAAAGCATGAAGAATGACAAAATACTTCCTTTCATAAAGCAGAAGGCTGTGCCAATTCACTTTCAACATGCTCATTCAGTGGAACTGAGGTAAATATGTTGCTCCACAGGTGCTTTTCCTTGCAATAACATACTCCCTAGTAATCCATTAAATTCATCTCATGCTCTGTTTAGTACCTACTCTGTGAACTGCCTAGCTGGTTAAGGTCACTGTAATAATAGGGCCAGGTTAAACAGCATGGCTATGGTGAACTCTGGCATTCCACTACTGTGGCCACAATACAGATTAGAAATGATGGGCAGCATCACGTGCGCAGTACCCATCCAGACCAATAAAGCATCTTCCCATCACAGAGTTTAAAAACTCAGTACAACTGCTGGACAATAACCATTTCATTCTGGAGTTCCTGTTAAGTGCAGACAAATAATTGCCACTTAGCAAGTCTCTATTAAATTCAGCCCAAATTCAGCCCAAGCAATCCTTTCCAAAAGCCTGATGGGTTTTTTACTTTATTATTTCCTTTGCAGGGTATTGGGAAGCGTAATCACTGGTAACTAATCAAACTTCTTTCAAATACCCACAAATATATAAAGGGAATGAGATGATTAATTATTGGGCTAAGCCATTTCAAACGAGACCTCATCTAAATGAACAGATTTATTTCCAGAGCGAGCAGGGTGTAAATTTAGCTGGTTTTCAAACCTCTGAATCTGATACATGCCTAGATTTGAAGATGGAGCGTGTTACGGGTGGCTGTACAACCTCCCCCAGACAAAGCACTGCAATAAAAATACAGACTGTGATTTTACAAAACAATTTCCTAAATTCAGTGTTGACCAGGGTTCATAAGTGCAGCCCCTGGGTGCTGTTAATCACAGGCAGGATGCGGTTGGGCATTAAACTAAGAGGATTTTGTCTGTTCAACGTTTGTAAAATTTCATATATTCAAATGAGCATTTCTTTTTTCCACACTTTGAGGAGAGGAACTGAAGACATTTTGTCAGATCTTCTTCCCCACCTTTAAAAACATCTTTTTGTTCCTGTGGTTTCCAATCAGTTCCTCACCTGCCTACTCAGTCCCTTCATTTCTTCCAACATTTCCACCTATTTGGGTGGAGCTTTAAGGAGTAAAGAAAACTGAAACATCTTTGTTTCCCCCTTGCTGCCCTTGGAAATCCCTGGAAGTGGCAAAAATTTTGCCATAGAATCATTACGGTTGGAAAAGACCTGTAAGATCAACTAGTCCAACCATCCACCTACCACCAATACTACCCACATCCCTCAGCACCACATCTCCATAATTCCTGAACACCTCCAGGGACACAGAAACTTCAACTCAGCACCATTACCTCACTCCACTGCAGCAGTGATAATCATTAGATAATCTTCAGTAGTCTATTTTCTCAGTAATGTCACAGGCTCACTCATCTCTACGTATTCATTTTAAAAGGAATATTGTCTGAGTAAATTGTCATGTCCATCCAAACCTAAGCTCATAGAAGTACAACACCCAGCTGCACAGATATGCAGCATTTCCCATTTATGAAATACATAGTGAGAGTCCAGTCAAAGTATAGGTGGCATATTCTTGTTCTTAGGCAGAAAATTAATGTGAGATTCCGTTTTATGCAGAATGATGCACACATTTCTTCACACACTGAATAGATTTTACAAACTAAGTATCAGTGAGCCCCCTCCAAAGCCCTGCTTGAAGAAATAATGCAGATCTGAGCTGGTGGAGGGGCCTCACTGCACACCACAGATTGCACACGTAGCGCATTTGTGGATGGAGCATCTGCACTTTGCAAGAGGTCCTGCAGAGAAACTGTCAGCACCAGAACCCTTGCAGAAATCTGCTTTCAAGCACAAGCAGACTTTTACGGAAAGCATCGCTCTGATTTGCAAAGATCTGCTCACAGCTACCCGGGGCT